TCCACCGACCCCTTCTACCGACCATTATAACCGATGTCCATTGCGACTTACTAATATAGACCAATATTTCTATTCTGGGGAGCTTCGGCTCCCCAGAGCCTCACCTACCTTTGTATTTAACCTTTGACGCTACTATATATAATAAACGTGTATATAGGACGCGGCGTGTCACTTGTACATACACACACACACACACACACACACATGCACCTATCCACGGGGTACTCACTAGTCTAAATAAAATAACAATTAAGGTCGCGATAACCCACTCGTTCGCGAGGCCCAGACCTGCGTGAGGGTTGGTATCGCGGTTCCGGGAAACCCACTTGCGAAGTTCTGGCGCTGGAGCTTGCTTGGTTGCCGAGCTGAAATGCACGGACGGGCGAACACACACATACACACACACACACACACATACACACACAGACAGGGCCGTCGGAATATGCGTTTTTGCAATTTGCATATAGGCTAAAACACATAATAAGTAAAACAGGAATCAAAAAATTCACTTTTTGAAAAACTCATATGGCAGCTTGAAAACCTATTTGCGCTGCATTTCCTAAGGTGTGCACTATACCTGCTCACTTGCGTAACATTTGCTTTAGAAATCAGTGACGATTAAAGAACTTACAAAAAATCGTCCGGTAAAACGAATGCACTTGGCTGTATCATTCGCAGATACGCACTGTTCGAGCATAAAATTTTGCTCAGCGTTATCTTGCGAATTTCATTCAGTTGTTCTAAAAAAATTATGAGCTTCGCTTTTTATGCATTTTGTGCTGTGTAACAGCGATACAAAACGCATATTTTCACGGTGCTGTTTGGCAAGAACGACAAACAATAGATGAACAAAGTGGATTACTGAATGACACACAAGCAGATTTACATTAATACGTAACAAAACAGCAAGGAAGGAGCCGCTGGCAACCTTGCCAAAGGTTGGCTGCTGTTAATTTGTGTCGCCTCTCGAGTTACTTTTCAGTGCTTCAGCTTTTCAGAAAAAATGAACTTTGAAGAAAGTATGAATGTTGATTTCATATATGTGAATTTAAGTAGCTTCTTGTACAAATCAGAAAAATACCGGGCGTAAATTGACCGGCAACATCGCCATTTTCATAGTAAAAGCGATCGCACTGCTTCAATCTGGCAAACTGCTCGGCTACTAGGCAAGCCATCGTCGGCCCAAGCTGAAACAACACCTCAGTATTGGCTAAAAGGTCTTTTACAAGCACTGTACTTATCTTTATTTGATATTAGCTGCTAAGTTACTGATTAGGTCTAGATAGAATAATCAGCAAAATTCATGAATAACTATCAGCCAATAATGAGGCACATCGAACATATTAGAGACTGAAAACTTATGATGTATATGAAGAAATAATAATTTAGCTGAGTTTAGGATGTTTCGGTCCATTAATTGCATGCGTCTTAAACCAGTGCCACAAGTGTCCATTTACAGAACGTTACAAAACTGTTTGATCGTATCGATAATTACTGTACTGAATGGTGATGAACTATTCTAAAACGGCTCCAGCTTTAGCCCATTAGCAAGGTGTACTGGAACTCACCAAGGCACCCTTGACTGGATCTTCTGATGTTAGTCCTGGAAAAAGATCGATATCATCGACATCGTCATAAACACTTTTGAGCGCGCTGATAGCTGAACTGCTCATTTGCGCCCGTAAATCCTCGAATGTTTTTGCTTTTTTCAGACCGCAGAATTCACTAAAACATGATATTCAATCACCTTTCTGTACGTGGAGCCGAAATCATTTGATTTTTAATTTTATTTCTATTTCACAGAAAAAACCCGGATTTTTCGTAGGACTGAAGGAAAAAGAGAACCGGAAATCGTTGTAGGGCTGAACGCCGTGATCCCTGGCCCGAAGAATATTAATGGCGATCAGATCCATTCCGGATGCGGATTCGCCTCTTCGCTCGAACAAATGATTCCGCAAAGCACTCGTTATGTGCCGATCAAAGGCCATACTCGGCGTGCTTAAGAGACCCATCAATATCGAATCCATTCCTGTACTCATTTACTCTATCATTGGCTAAATATCAGGAATAACAAAACCGCGCGGGCATTAATATGGGTACCTCTCACGTAACATGCACAAGGTCAGTCAAGGTCTTTCCAACTCTAAAGTATGCTTTCTTTTAATCCGTACCTACGACCTCTTCGACGTATGTATGCCACCTCTTCGGAGGTCGCTTGAATAATCATTCCTTTTTCGCAGGTCGTCAGCAAGGCAAGCAACATTACATGTCCATCGGATTTTACTTTCTCAGGTGGTCTCAGTGATATCTTGTATTCTGATCATCTGACAGAGAGGTTGATTATTTATAACGGTCACAAAAGCCACATAATTGGGATATTCATACCGGTTGTGGATTTGGCATTCTTGCTTTAACTGATTCTGAATTTTGCTCAAATGGGTAACATTTGGTCGTATTTCTTACTTTTCCGAATAACAAGGAATAAGATTTTTCAGAATTCGTTAACTCTCAACTGCCTGTTCGCTTACCTCCAGCTGTGAAATTGTACAAGGGCTCAACAAATCCAAAATGAGACGCCAGATCAACGGGATCAGACACAGGCCTGAAATGGTTGTCCACACGTGGAAACATTCGTCGAACAAGCGTATGTCCAAATCGGTATGCTGCAGTGGCAAACGGTTGTGATATGGCCGGATCGCACGTGTCGTTGTAACCTTGAAATGGTGCACATCGTGAAGAATGAGTACATGTCAAACATAATAACTGTCCCAGCATTATCAGGGGTCCTGAAGGTTCTAGGTTTATCAGCTATGATATGAAGACTACTTAGCGCAAAGCATGAAAGAACTTTTACCAGATTTCAATTTTTCTCCACAAAAATTGCTCGAAATAGCTCTCAATACTTGCTTTGTTTGGACATCAAGTGGTAGGCGCGGACACAAAAAAATTCAAGAGCATCTTTAAGTTTTCAAAGAGTAATTTCGACTGTTCAGCTGGCATATTTCCTGTGTTAAGTTTTACTAAGCACTTTACTCGAACTCAAAATAAAAAATTTGGATTGGAAAAGCAAAGGAATAGCGAGGGTTTCGATGGCCACTGAATAATATCATAATTCCCACATAGTTAAGAGGGAAAATGCAAGAAAAATCAGTTCATACTGACCAGTGAAGTAGCCATCACTCTGGGGTAGTAGATTGTGTTTTTCAAGCAATTCCAGACCAAGCAGCTTCGGCAAAAGTTCAGAGAAGACGATA